GGAGCAGTCCGAGGTGGTGTTTGCCACAGGGACAGTAATCTACTTGTAGAGGAGTGTCAGCCACCCCGCAACCCCCAAGACCCGAAGTTTCCTCCCTGAAAAAGTCTGAAACCGGCTTTGAGCTCAGAGTGATTGTGCTGCCAAGCTTGAACTCGGAAGCCAGAAGTTTGAGATCTGAATTCCGAACTCAGAAGTTCCAAAACCGCGACAGACGCGTTACAGAAAAGTTGCCAGCACTAGCTTGTACGTCAGGACTGAGAACTCTTGAACCTCCGTGGCCAAGCCTGTCCGAGAGAACAGCTTGTCCATCTAGTTCAACAGAAAAAGGCCAGACGGCCTATCCAACACTACTCGACAGGGCTGAAAACCGTGCCCGGCAGAAAATCAGGTTATCTGAACTGGTATCTGATAGGGTTTGCGTCTACCCCTGTACCTGTGACCAATACGTTATTACCATGGACAACGCATGCCGCAGACTTACGTGTACATACGATATCAAACAATTGTATCGTTCTTGTCTGTATCCATGAAACTGCCTTTTTGTTTCGGTATAGATCTCGGTTTTCGTGTTTACGTGGATCCACGTGTGGCTGTCCCCAGTGTCTGTATGTCTATCTACTGAGGGTTATGGCGCATACGAGCAGGCATGCGTAGCTTTCTATTTTGTTCATATTCAAACCAACACGACGCAGAGGTGTTTTGATTCGTGAATGTTGCATCTGGTTGGGGTGAAGAGAAGAGCGGGGTTGCTTTCCGAATGCGTCGGCCTCAGGCCGAGCTGGGGAGCGAGATCGCTGGGCGTCACAGCGTCTTAAAAGAAGAGAATTCGAAGTCAGACCCTCGGCTTATTGGGATTTCTTAGGTTAAACTGGTTGGGTTTTGAGCTCAAGACTTTGGGCTCTAGGTCCAGTAGTTCCAGATTAAGCTCGGCAGTGGTGGTCAAGCCTGCGATGCATGAGCAGGTTCTTAGACTGTGACGATTTCTACCCGTACGCTGGGATCGGTAAAGTCTAGCTGCTCCCTGCACGATGCTTTGAACACGTGTGAAGCCGTGGCACCGTCTGCCGAAACCTGAGGTTGAAGTCTAGGCTGAAGCAGGAGAAGGAGCATGGGGAGCTGGTGCCGAGGGGTTCTTTGCTGGGGCGTGTCGGACAGATCGTGACAGCGAGCTGCACTGAGCCAGGTCCGTGCCGAGCTGCAGCAGTTGAAGATGCAGACAGTGGAGCAGCGCTGACCCGAGGAAAGCCTCGACCGAGGTCCTTAGGTCCTCCTTAGGTTTCACAGAAACCAGACGACGTCTAAGGTTGCGGAAGGCGCAGGACTGGAGATGCCTGGAGGACCCACAAGTGGTCGAATCCCTCCCCTGACAGGAAGAGCACGGCCGGAAGCTGGCATTGACGCACCAGGCCAAGCTCAAGGCCGAGGCTCCTGGACCTAGGAAAGGGAAGGGCTAAGGCGGCTAAGGGCTCTCTTTTGGCGGAAGGGGACGCGGCGAGTCGACCTGAAGACCACAAGCGAGGCATGGGGCATGGCCCTTGCTGTGGAGCAAGACGAGAAAGATCCCTTTTCTCAGCCTTTCAGGCCGTGGCAGCGCAGCAGCGCCACATCCAGGCCTTGGAGAAGGAGCTCCAGAGCTTAAGGCGAAACGTCAGCGATTGGTATACACCGTACCTTCCAAGAAGAGTGTGACTTAGTTTGAGGCACTTGCTTGATGAGCACGACTGTGGCCTCTCCCGCATCCGAGAGGAGCTGGCATTCGAGGCACAGAACCCGCCCGTTTGCATGAATTTTGTATTGGCTCATGCCGGAAGCGTACAGGAGAGCAACCCTATCGCACGGGCCAAAGAGGAGGCCTTCCTGCACTCGTCTGCTCTCAAGCCATGCGGCCATGCGCCATCCCCTCACAGCTTCGCAGGTCCTTGCCATCCAGGATTCAGTGCTCAAGGCTTGAGCTGCCAGAGTTGTCCGCAATGGGTGTTGAACTGCTGGGCCGCCGAGAAGGCAGCAGACGAAGATGCCACCTTGTCACAGCACTTGGAGGATCTGCAAGACAGCTGGCCTTCCTTGCGCATTCCATCTTGATTTGTAGACGCCGCACCACGTCGTGCAGGAGCGTATGCTTTACCCGAGCAGACTTCTCGGCAGCGACCCAGGCCAGTGACGCCGAGTAACTTGCATCCCGTTGGGTGCATCGAGGGTGGAGTCCTCACGAGAGAGGTGCGAACCTGCGTCGGGCGGACGCGCATGACACTTGCTTGCAAGCCGCTGTGTGCTTGTTGAGGCTTCAGCCAGATGGGCACACGGGTGGCAACAGAAGCAACCACCACAATAGCAACAGCAACAGCAACAGCAACGGCAGCGGCCACTGCAACAGCATCATCATCCACAGCAACCGCAGTCACGAACACGACCACCACCACCGTCACCCCCACCACGACCACCACCGCCGCCGCCACCACCCCCACCGCCGCCACCGCCACAGCCGCCGGCACCACCACCA